TTCCAGCAGCCTATCACCACCTCCTAATTGCATGGCTTTGTATGGCTGCTGCTGCCACCATGGGAGGGTTAGGATGTGTGGAGACAGTTGTTATTGCCCTTACGCCACACGTGAGCTGCATGCTCTAAAGTAGAAAAAAAAAAAAAAAAGTATGAAACCTGTTCTCTGGGGCTTTCTTCTTGGCTCTCTGACTCTCCTTTTCTGCAGTAGGAGAAAGCTCTTTCCCAACATGTTTTCTCTTACATTCTGCTCAAGAGGTAGAAGGGTAAAAGCAGTGCTTTCTCACAGGGCAGGGAGAACTGTGTTCAGGGCAGATGGGGAGGATTTATGGGTCCTGACAGGGAGGATGGAAGGTCCTGTCTTCTCAGGGGAGTGGAGGAGAAGGATAACAGCTTCTCTGTGGGAAAAAGGAGGCTGGGGAAGAAGAAAAAGAGATATTCCCCTCCATAGATGTCTGCTTCCTCTCCCAGTCCCTGGAGCATTAGCTGCCTTTCTCCTACTGATTCCTTCTCGGGGACACCTGGTTCTCCTTACCAGATGCCTCCCAAACTCCTGTTTTGCCTTTACTGCTGATCTGTGCCAAATCTGTTTCACCTCACTAATGGACTGCTGAGACTAAGAATTAAGATGATACCCCAGGGATAATTTTGGTCAGAAACCAGGAGACAGAGCATCACCAGTCAAAACAGAGATCTCAACTGCAAAAGGGAATCCTAACAAAGTCCCAACTTTGTCACCTTGTGTGCCAATACAACCGCATCAGCCTGAACTGTGGGTTCATCAGATCTGGACTTGGCTAGTTGTTGTATAGGAAGCTTCTAATTAAAGTCCAAACGATGGCTAGTGTAGTAAACAATTTAATGAGTAGGTGGCACTCTTTACTCTGAACCACTCTTGAACCATGACCCAGAAAGTGCGGAAGTGGTATGCAGTGAAAGAAGTGGCACGTGTCCATCAGCAGTGTGCTTCGTGGCATTGCATCGCTGTTGGGAAACTTATTTCACTTGGACACAGGCTTCTCCTTAGGGTCAGTGAAGCTGGCACCTTTGTACGTGGATGCAGCTCATGACCTCATCTTACAGACTTGGAAGAGACAACTGGCTGGGCTGGGTCAAACTCCGCATACTTAGTTTTCCCACTGTAAGCAGAGGAATGGAGACAATCAATTCTTCTCTCTTCACAAATCAGATAAATAATTAAGATAATCTCTCTTAATGCACTATGTTCTTATAAAATGCATGAATAGAATCTTCTTCCATATTAATCTGGCATCCCTCAATTTCTGCAACAAGGTGTATGTATTTTACATAAGCATAAAAAGATAAATGTGTTCCCCATTGCTTGGTCTCCTTCTGCAGTTCCCTGCTTTCTTCTCTTCCCATCAGTTCATACTGTGCCATCACCTTTGGGAATTCCTCTCCAGGGAGACAGAGGACCTGATTCTGGTGAAGACAGGGCCTGAGAAGGCACCTTGGGTTTCCTGGACAGAGAGAGAGTGTTACTGTCTCTCCCCCTGGCTCTGCCTCCTCCTCATCCCCAGTCAGCAGCACACAAATGTTACATAAAGCTGCTCCTCCGCACCTAATTGTTCTTGTGCCAACGAAGATAAAAGGAACCCAAGGACTGAGAGCTGAGTATGTGTTTATTTATACAGAAGGCAAGACATGACTAGCGAAAGCATGACTACACCTCTACAGATGTGAGGGAGGAGGTATACAGTAAATATACCTATTTATCCCTGGTATCCCTTTATTATCTTTAGTGAAAATATGAGATTTATCCCAGCTATATCCCTTTACTTCTAAGAAGCAAAGCCTGGATTTACATTAGTTGCACTGGTAACACCACTGAAGATTCAAGGCCTGTTCACAATGGAGTTAGAATTCATAGCTGTAAGTTTAGTCATTTTTGATGTCTTAAAAAGTGTAAAAGTAATCATACATCATTAGGGAAATACTATGCCAAAAATGATGCTGAAACAGATTTACTTCAGAATATGAAGGGCTCCTTTGATAAAGAAAATACTAACGCTAACATATGATTAGAATACAAGGCTCCTGTTCTGAAATAGAAAACCCATGATAAGAGGCAGCGCTAAAAGCAAAGCCAACAAAGGGATAACAGGGCATTACTGAACTCGAATGTATCATTGCCCTGTTCAGTTCTTCCAAAACTTCATCTAACATAATCTCAACAAATAATGTTCACCTCATTTCCCAGAAAAACAAACTGACCCTCCAGCTATCCAGAATATTATTCCAACATGTAAAATTCAGTTTGAATAACTTTTACTGGGAAGATAGTATTGTGTGTGTTGATCAGCGTAACACCCTGACTCACAAGTACATAGAGAAAACTGCAAACAGAAGAAGGAGCCAGGGAAAAACACAGAAAGAAAACCATTCTAGATATGGATGTACAGTGTGTGGGTTTTGTTGTCAGCCAAATATGTGGAGAGCAGTTTTTCCTGTAAATCAAGGAAGAGTCACATCTGACACTAGTCCTATCAGGCAAAAACGTCTCAGCAAAGGCAGGCAGGACTCATAGCTTAACCACAGCAACATCAGGTCCATTGCCTACTCAGAATCAATGAGTATGCTTTTAGAATAAACATGGACTTGCACAAAAAGATCAAATAATTGTAATTTGAGAAGGTGTCAGACCAAAATCTCCCACTGCTCCTGATCACACCCAAATCTCTCACTTTGATCCGCTCTGTGTGATGCAGCCAGCCTTTACTAACAATCCCTTTCTGATTCCCCCCTGAAAGTAATTTCTCCCCTGAAAGTAATTAACAACATCTTACCTAGGAGCTATGCCCAAGGAAGGCTCTTGCTCTTCGGTTGTTTTATAATACTGTTAGGCTGGGGAGGAAATGGTTTCATATACACAGATACACGGTTTAAAGCGATCTTCTGAACTAAAATTTTGCTACTGAGAAGTCCCTTCCCTTCTGTATTTTTAAGAATCATCAAGTTAAATATATAAACATATGGAGTGGGTGTTGATACAGTATTAAGATCAAGTAGAAAAGGTAACAACGGATGAGGAGATCACTTCAAATGGACTTTGGGACTCTGCTATCCAGGTTCAACAGTTGCAAGAGTGTGAGTCTGCACTGCCTGGGCTGCTGGACATGCAGACCCCCAGCTGACACCCTTTGTCAGTGGGATTCACCTCCTCCTCCTATAGTTGTGTGTGCTGCATTCATCCATGTTTATTCATGTTTTGGTGGCTGAACTTTTTGTTGGACCACAGGCACTGAATGGCCACACAACACCCAAAGCCTATGCAAAAGAAACGCCAGGAGCTACGGGTGTCCCCGGGACATGGAGTTGTTTGAGGACAGGATGCTTTGAGACCACTGTAAGCCAGATGGGAAACTCCATCTTCGGCATGCTGTAGGAGTTAGCGTTGAGGATCTACAGCATGCCAAGGTGACCATGTAGACAGGTTTGTACTCTGAATCCATGCCAACAGAAATAAACCCAGTGCCAGAGTAGGGAATGCAGATTTTCAGGTACTCAGAGCACCATTCATTTATTACTTCATAATAATAATAATAAAAAAATGTACTAGAGAAAATCAGACCATTATTTATTGATGTGAACAAAAAGTTTGAGCTTGATCCTTGGCAGCTGCCCTTCCTCCCGTGCCAAAAGCATGGTAGAAGAAAAAGAGGATGAGTGGAGTTTGTCCAGAGGTTGTTAAGCTGAACATCCCCTTCAGACAACTGCTGCTCCAGGCTGAACAGGATGCTGAGAAACCATCTCAGAGATGATGGGACTGCAAATGGCTCTTTGGAGCTCAGGCTCCAGCCGGTGCCAAGTGCTTACTGGGCATAGCTGCGTATCAATCAGCCCCCCATACTTCCTTTCCTATCTCTGTCCATGGCCCTATCTATAAAAGCAGATACTTGACTCAGTGAGCTACACAGTCTTTCATAACCATCTGTGGGCAATCTGCAGGTGTTAAATTAGCTGCAGGAGGATGCCCATATGTTTCCTGCATGCAACAGACACATATGGAGAATTATTACCAAAAAAAAAAAAAAAAAGCCATTGCAGATTGCACACAGTTAAGGCTAAAGGGCTGAAACAAAGATCTTTAAGCAAAATTGCACGCAGATGAGATGTAATTTACCGTGATTTGCAGCTTCAGATTAAAACACAGAGAAGAAGAAATGCAGTCTTCGTTTCCTAATGTCATTTTTTGGGCTTATGTTATTCTGTGAGGAGAGAGTCCCGTGAGATGCTGAGCAGCCTCAAACTGCTGGCAGTGGGACTGGGGGCACTTGCCAGGATCAGGCCTTTGCAATCATTTCATACAACCTTTTTTTTTGCGACTGGTCAATTTACTTATGATTTATAACCTTGTATTGTATATGTCAGAGTCAGCAGTTGCCCTGCAGCCAGTAATGGGAGTTATTTATTATTACTGTACAGAAAGAGCCAAAAAGCAACAAGTACCTTCCCTGTCTGGGTCTGAAGGATGAAGGCAGTTGGAGAATATTTTTTAATAGACCTTACTTGTCTCTTTGGTGTAAAGCGGTTGAAAGATGGGTGAAAATGAACAAGGATTGAGTTTCTAGGCTAGACACAAGGAAAAGACCTTATTTTTTCCACAAAAATACACATGTGCATGCTTGTTTTGTAGGCATAGGCACAGACTGACCATATCACTATTTCTCTTCAGAATCCTGAATTGAAGTCTGTACATATGTCTGGAAAAACCGCCATTTTCACATTTTTTACAATGTCAAATATATTGATCCAGTTTTTAAGAGCATAAGATTAAGCAAATCTCTACAGCAGAGATCTGTTTCAGGTGAGTTTTCCTTCCAGAGCCCCCCCCAAAATGTTGTAGCTGGGTGTAGAAAAGACCTGCAGGGCTTGACAAAATACTGAAGCTTTTCATATGCAAGCAGGAATTAATATTTCTCCGAAAGCTTTAACAAAGGCAGCAAGCTATTACACATGAGGATTTTTCTCTGTGCACAGAAAGAATGTAATTGATCCGGAGGATCCACGGTGTGCCAGGCTGACTCTCACGGGACAGATGGTTACGGTGCCTCCGGAGGAAGTGGAATTTGCCAAGCAAGCAATGTTTTCCAGGTCTGTATGTAACAGGCACGGAGTAGGGTGCAACCCACAAGTTTGAGACAAATATGTAGCCGTTTGGTATGAAAAATCTGAGAAGTGACAAGCCCGATCTTTACTTTGGAGCCACGCGGCGTGTTGGCTCCTGTGTGGCCTGGAACGACAGGCAGAGCTGTGCGGCCTCCTCTTAACTCTTGAGGTCACGAAATATGGAAATGCAATTAGGCAGTGTTGGACTCCGGTAAAGCACGTGGTTTATAATCCGAGGGTTATGAACATATTTCACCTGGCTCCGAGGAGAGATTCCATAAATCCAGGGTGTACTCGTTCCCTTTAATGATTCCTCCCCGCCTTAGGACAGGTAGTGCTCTTCAGCCACAGGGCCCCCCCTTATACCTATTTGCAGGGTGGAGCTTATGGGTTTAATTACTTCTCCTGACGTACCATGACAGCTCTTTCCAACGCCATAATACTTAGAGAACAGTCACCTTTGAACACAGGTGAGCACAGCCCTGCCACACGCGCACACACCCAGGGCGTGCCCCCATGACTTCCAGTGGGTCTTCAGAATAACAGGCGTGAAAGGCCCGGACATTACTTAGCTGGGTCACACACCTCCCACACAGGCTGCCCGAGATGGTCCTCCAGGTGCACCCTGCCTGGTCAGTCAAATGCTGTGGGGAAACTGGGATGAACTGGGATCCAAAACAGCCCAGAGGCGGTATTCTCTGTGGTCTGCTGGAAGGAGATCGGGTGGTACTCTAACTCCATCAATAGCAAAAATGGGACCAGGGATGGATGAGGGCTATATTGGCGCACATGCCTTTTTTACAGACTTGGCAGGAATCAGGCTCCTACGTGAGTCAGAGTCCACCAGTTCCTCGGCAGCGGATGCTCCACTGTCAGGGAGCAAAAGCCAGATGGACACGGTGAGGGCCCATCCAACGCCAGCAGCAGCTGGAGCCACTTCCCAACACCACAGTCATGGGTGCTCAAAGGGACAACTCAGAAAATGGTGGCAAACCCCAGCTCAAGCCAGAGGTTGCCAAACCAACCATCTGGTTGGGTCTGCCCCGACTTGCACCGCTTCCCTCACGCTGCTCCCATGAAGTCCGCAGCTCGAGCTGCTGGATCTGCTCCCTGCACCGCTGCCGAGCAAGCATCCCACAGCATCCTCTGCAGAGGCACTTGCTGGGGCTTGGGGACCAGAGGTGGGGAGGATCTCTTCAAGCTAGTTGTGAAGGCAGGGCCAAGAAATGAGACAGAGGATGAGAAGACTTTAGCAGGCAGCAGCTCAAAGAGGCTCACCGGCAGTACCACAACAACTGCTACTGAAGATGTAATATTTTCAGAACACCTTTTCCTTTGAACAGATACAAGCACAACCCTGACACGCATCCAGAGAATCTCCTCCAGGTTTTTTTTTTTTTTTTTTCACTTGGAGACCAAACAACATCTGCCTTTAGAGTTGGGGTTCTGCAATGGGGGAAGGAAGGTGGTGCTCACTGGCTGCCTTCCTTGCAGTTCTCACCAGACTGGGGTGTGGAAGATCATAAACCTTGCTGCAAGGGAAGGCAAAAAAGATGAATGGTGGTGGTTCTCAGATCTCAGGTTTCACCCTGGCTGAGTGCACTAGGCTGAAGGAAAAAAAAAAAAAGCAGACTATGCATATGCTTTGGCACATCTTTTAAAGTTGCTTTTTTTTGGTCTTCTTTTCTTTGTCCTTCCAGGCACCCGGTGGTAAGAAAGTGGCCTCGCAGCTATGAGTGGTTCTTCATGAAAATGAACATTGAGCACATCTGGCTTCAAAGCTGGTATGGAGAAGTTTCTGCCATCACAGTAGAAGAATATTTAAAAGCAGTTCCAAGTAAAGGATGATTGAATGGGCTTTGAGATAGAGATCTTCTGAGTTTCCTTTCCAAACACTTTTAAAATTTCATGCTGGATGGTTACTTTACAGTGATTTTTTTTTTCCCCAAAGGCTTCAAAATAGCCCTGTCTTACAGGGAGCAGAGTGAAAATAAACTGACACAGACTTTCAAATTATAAAGGAGAGGTGGATACTAGCCCTACCCTGCAATGTAGAAACGTGTCATTTCAAACAAGCAATGCATCATTTTGAACGCTGCTTAAAAACGCTTTGTATCTGTTTGTTTTGACTTTTATTGCTGTGCACCCACAGGGAAACTACAATATGTGCTAAATATAATGTTCTGATTTACAGAAAAAGCAAATTGCCTATTCAGAACCCTCTATGTGTTGTGGAGATATTACTGCTGTTTGGTATCTCTTGGTTTGTAAGTACTCTAAGATAAACTTAATAGCTGTAACTTTAGATATTTAAGTTGTTAAAAAAATATTTTGCTAAGCTGTCCTCACTTGCTAAATTATATTTTCTACATGTGTTTTTCCCTAATTGTCGAATTTGGTATTTCACTTGGAAATTGAGTGGAAATTATCTCTTTTAGTAGAAAAAAAATGCAAGCAGCTAAAACAACATGCCTCCTGTATAACTTGTCTCTTACTAACACAAATCTGTTTAAACACGTTAAGGGCCCAAACCAAATCAGCCCCACAAGGATCATCCCAATGCAAGTATAAACATTCTTGTAAGAATAATTTAAGTAAATGTTCTCAGCTAACCTATTCCTTTTATGAGACAGGAAAAGTATTTTTAATAGCCTGTAGTTTCTATTTTTTTGCATCTCTTCTCCAGCCACTGCTATATTTTTAACTCATTTGTGCAACTGATTTTTGTAAACCACCACTATCTTGTCTAGAGGTGGAGCCAGTCCCTTAACTGTTTCCTCATCAAGTTTTAAAGGGCCTGTTCATGCATTTATTTTTTAAAGAAGCCTAAATATAGGTAGGTATTTCAGGCCATGAAAAACTCATTTTCCTAGCATGGAAAGAGCAAACTTTGTTACAAATTTATTATGGCATCTCACATGATAATATTTGAAGAGTTCAAAAGTATTTTATTCACCTTCAGCCCTTTCTCTAGATGTCCTGGTAAACTTATTTTGCAGTTCCTAAGGGCATCAGAGTAAGACAGGTCCCACGGCTGACCTGCCAAGTCAGTACACAGTTTGCAAATTACATGGCTGCTCTCCCCGTTGCATTAAGAAAGAGACTCATTGGGATGGGGTTTCTGTGCCTGTGGGGCACAGACGCCTCCAGCATCCCTGGGAGGGCACCCAAGCCCTGGGTGCCAGCCTGAGCCTGGGTCCCAGCTGAGCGACCTGAGGTCGTACAGGTTAATCCTCAGGCAGAGCTCAGAGGCAGCAGCATGAGCTCTGACCAGCTGGAAGCCAATTAAGTGCAGCTGAGCTTATTTTGGTTCTGGCATGGAGAGAGGGACTCGTTCCCGGAGCGGAGCTGGGCACCGTGCTGGTTTAACTACCAGGGGCTGCTCAGCCCTTCACGGCTCCGGGCATCGCAGCCATTCCTGATATTCCGTAAGAATCGAAGACAAATGCAGGGGAAAAACTTTGTTGAGACACTTCAAAGCACTTTTTTTCTTGTCTTATTGCCAGAGACTCTGTTAGCGGCGCAGGTCTTTTGCAGAGGTAATTATGCAAAAAGAGGAAGTGTCCTGCCTCAGTCCATTTCCCTTTTTCTTTTTTTTTTTTTTTGGCAGATGAGCAGATTTTCCCACTTGCGTTTGCCCTTGAGTCTTGCACTTCAGTGTAGTACTGAAGCAAAGCGGCCCATCCTGTACAGATTTATAGAATACCACCAAGTGAAATCCTCCTCGATTCCTGTCATTTTGCCATGGAGATCTTTGTCCACTACGGATTTGATACTTTTCCCATTAGGATTAATGGGACTTTTACAACTGAGTTGAACAGGCAGAGCACTAGACCCTGTAAGGGAATCTCCACAGGTCTAACGTTTCTGTGCAACTTTAATTACATGTTTCAATATCCCAAGTTCACTACTATTCCCAGAGAAACCTGAACTGCCTGTTCTCTCCCCCGCCCCACAACACACAGAGATGAAGCAAATCCAGCCTAAAAGTTTAGTGTTTAAACAAGAAGAGAGGAAGAATTTTAGAAATGCTGCTGCTACTATACTCTCAATTTCACTTACCTCCTTAGACAGCCTGGTCACAGCGACACGGTCCTAGGTCCTGTCCGTTAAGTTACTAACACTCTTGCCTTAAAGCAGTAAGAGGTTGTATCAACCATGTTCAGTAGAGCTTGAACTGTTTAAGAAGTTAGTGTGCACTGAGGGAGGTTTTGAATTTACAATGCCCTGCTTGCTATCGGCTGTCTCCCTGCACACCTAGATTAATTGGAGTAGCTTCTGTATTGTAAATTGACGCATTCATCAAAGAAGCTTTTTTATATGGACCTGCCGGGAGGCTCTTGACAGAACCTCAAAACATGAAGTGGCGAGGGCATGTAAAGTGACAAAAGGGGCTTTATGGAGAAATGCCGTCTTAAATCACCTCTTCTCATTTCAGGCTTCCTTCTCCCAAGGAATAGCTACAATAAACGCCCTTGAAAGTCTATAGAAATTCATCAAAAATATGACCTGCAGGTTTTTAGTAGAATTTTCTGGAGAAGAAAAAAAAAAAAGAGAGGAGATGTTAGTTTCTTTAATTGGGCTTTCCATTATTAATTATATACTAGTACCATTTTTTTCTTTAAACTGACAAATGTCTCAAATGATATTGTTCATCTCGTGTAAGTGATGTTTGTTAAAGCTTTTAACCCAAAGAATGTTATTCTTTTTATGATATCATAATAAAATGATAGTTCCTTGGGACTGTAAAGGGTCCGATCTTGCTTCAGTTCAAGTCAATAGCAAAAATCCCATTTATTTGTGCTTTAATTATTAGAACAAATACGCATTTTTATAAAAGAACTTCATAAGCCCTTGTGAATTTGTTAAACATTTCCACCAGCTGATGTGTAATTTATTTCCATGTGTTCTGTATTTTAGTTATTTCTGTAGCTTCTCCCAAAAAGCTTGTTGTGCAACGTGTATTATTTAAAACATCAACTGTGGTTTTGCAATATGTAAGAGATGCATTTAGTCATGTCTGTATACTTGCTGAAAAAAAGGAAGACAAAGTTCTAAACTTGGGTTCTCACTTTTTGCTTATTTGTGCAAATGTAATGCATGTACAGGATTGAAGCGCAGCTGATTTGAACTGCTGTTCTTATTTAACCAAAGAATGCTCTGTTTCTGATGAAATTTTCATCACTTTGGTGGACGAAATGCATCCCGTCTTGTTTCTGGATGTGTATTGCAATTTGCAATGTATTTTGATTTCTAAAGATACTGAATGTTGTTAACAAAATGCCTATCGAGAAGAAATTAATACAAATAAAACAAATTTCAAAGTGGAAGCTGCAGCTAGAATATTCTTGAATACAGCACTAGCCAGAGTAACTGACCTTTTGCTGACAGCCATTAGAATTTCTATCTCATCTGAATATCTGCCTTTTTTTTTCTTTTTTTCCCCAGTTTTTCTGAACCAAGCTAATTTCCCTCAAAATCCTCCTGGGAACTGAGACTCAGATCTGCTGTGGCACAGCCTCGCTTTTCTCTGGGGAGAAAAGTCTGTGAGACTCAGATCAGCCTCGCTTTTCTCTGGGGAGAAAAGTCTAGTCAAGCACCTTTTATCTTTCCTTCGCCTTCTCATTACTGTCAGATTTGCTTTCACCGTGGCAGTTAAATGTCACTCTTAACAACGTTTGCTCTTCTTTTCTGCACGTGGGGACCGAGCACTCACCTCTCAGGTGTGCATTAATGGTGTTTTGGAAGTTTCCTCAGTGTTATTTCTTCCCTTGCTAGCCTTGCTCTTACAAGTTCTTGTTACAGCTTGTTCACTGTTCTCTACTTTCCTCCGGCGCGTTTTCTTAAGCCGGGGCTGACAACTTACCTTTTCATCTTGCTTTCCCGCACCAGCTCCTTTCAACAAAATTCAGGCTCTCCCACTAAAATTCCCACTTCATATCTGATAAAGGTTATAGGAAACAGCCTGTGTTTCCTATTTACGCCTCACAGTCTTTGTCTTGCCACTGGCTGGACCGCATTCGCTGTGAGGACCGTGACAACAGTTTCCTAACCTGCACAAATCACAGTCAACATCGGTTTCCTATTTCCAGCGACTCCATATTCTTAAAAGAACATTTCCTGCAGCTGTTATTTTCCTTTGTACTGAGCCTTTTTACTTTTGTCCCGTTTCTGGAGTGATGTCTATTCTGCTTACACTAAGTGTCTTTCACTTTTTCTTTTTTTTTTTTTACCAAAAAATTCTCATTTGAACATCATTTTTTGACTCACTAAAGTACTGTCACTTTTTTTGATCCGCTTTTTGCCAAACACTGAATTTGTGCAATCCTTCAACATGGCTCACCCTTTACCTACATCTACTCGGCCACCACCTCCATGTTCCCTCTCCCATCCAACATTCTCCTGCTCCTTATCCTCTTTTTTTTTTTCTTCATTAACTCTAGTTTTTCTGTGCTGTTCCCACACCCTCCCGTTCCTTCTCCACAGCCCCTTCCACGTTACTTTGTCTGCCCAGTCTTGGCTGTCTTCTTGATTTTGCTGCTTTAATCTTGTTCTTGCAATGCTTGGATCCTTTGGAGAGAGACCTAACGCTGCCGGGTACTTTGGGAGAATGCTAAAGAGTTACTTTAAAGACTACTTTGGGTTTGCAATCTATTTATTTATTTACCTTTCTATCTATTTATTTATTGAAACACTGACTCTGGAACAGAAATAGGAACACACTGGCCTTGGTGCCAACACAGGATAGGGCATTTCACTGACCTCGTGGCTTCTGTCTGATGCCACTCTCTGCACAAACCGTTCCAGGCTCTACTAGACCCTGCCTGCGTCATCAGCCCCAACGTATAATCGTGATTAGGAAGGAAAGGACATTACCCAAGTTTGACGAGGTTGTTTGACGGCACAGGTTAATGAGGCGTGATCACACGACTCTTCATGGCTTCTAAAGGAAAATTGGGTGTTTGAGTTTTGGGTGCCATCCCAAAAAGGCTGGCAGCTGGTGAAAACTGGTGATCCATTCTGGAAGCTGGAAGAAGGTACAGATGTCTTGTATGAAAAGAAAAACAGGAAAGGCTTTAAACATGTTGTCCAGAGAATCATAGAATCATAGAATTGTCCAGGCCGGAAGGGACCTCCAAAGGTCATCTAGTCTGACCCCCCCGCAGTCAGCAGGGACACCCCCAACTAGACCAGGTTGCCCAGGGCCTCGTCGAGCCTCACCTTGAATATCTCCAGGGATGGGGCCTCAACCACCTCCCTGGGCAACCTGTTCCAGTGCTCCACCACCTTCAAGAAGCTGTGGATGCCCCATCCCTGGAGGTGTTCAAGGCCAGGCTGGATGGGGCTTTGAGCAACCTGCTCTAGTGGGAGGTGTCCCTGCCCATGGCAGGGGGGTTGGAAGTAGATGATCTTTAAGGTCCCTTCCAACCCAAACCATTCTATGATTTCAGAAGAGCTATGCAACAAATAATTGTAATTAATGGAAAAGAAAACAATAAGATGATCATGTTTATTCAGCACCTTTACCTCCTACGTCCACGCATGTTTCTCCAGCACGTTTTCCTGGTCGATGCCCACACGTTGCCCACCCTTCCTCCATTCCTCAGCCCCCTCCAAACCAGCCCCCAGCGGGGCGGGGCGGGGCCTCCGCCGCTGGGGGCGGAGCTTCATTTCGCCCCGCCCCCTCCCTCCCCCCGCCCCTTCCCTCCGGCGGGGCGGGGCTGCGCACGCGCGGCCGGGCCTACGTGGAGCCCCTCAGCAACCGCACGGTGCGGGGCAACACGGAGAGCGGCCGCTACGGCGACAGCTCGCCCAAGGAGAGCGCCCAGGGCCTGGTGGGCATCCCCCGCGGCGCCTCCCCCCGCCACATGGAAGGCTGCGCCGCCGACACCGATTACGACGTGCCGCTGCCGCCCGGCGGCCGCGGGCCCTCCCCTGAGGGCGACCCCCCGCCCTGGATCGCCCTGGTGGCCCGCGGCGGCTGCACCTTCAAGGACAAGGTCACCAACGCGGCGCGGAAGCGGGCGGCCGCCGTGGTCATCTACAACGAGGCCCGCTTCGGCAACACCACCGTCTCCATGTCCCACCTAGGTGGGTGAGCGGGGACGGGTTTGGGGAGCGGGGAGGGTGGCTTTGTCTGGCGCCGGTCCGCCTCGGTGGGGCGGGAGGGCGGCGAGGGACAGGGATGGGGATTTGGATTGGGGGGGGGAGGCAGAAAATCACCGTAAAAATGGTGCGAGGAGCCGGGTTTTTTTGTTTCCTCTTCCTCTTAAGCCGGGACCGGCTTCTGCCTTCCGAGTTACAGCCCGGGTGTCGGGGAAGAAGATGCGGTGAAGCCATGGGGTCGGGCAGCCGTGTAACAGACTGCGGTCAGAGGCTGGTTTTTTTGGGAGGGAGAAGTGGGGGGGTACGACACACGGGGTTTACGGTTACATTTAGAGCCACCTTTTCGCTTTGTACACCCTTCCTCCCCTATCCCCCCCCCCCC